ATTTGTCTTTTTAGAGAATTTTTTTACCAGTGCATGTAAAAATAAAGAAAAACGAAGCCCAAGACAAAGATAGCAATTAACAAACATCTTTTATTAAAGAACAGGAAAACCAACTATCACCACAGGGTGTGTGTTTAAACAGTTCCACATGAACTTTTCTTTTTTTTTTTTATCACCACCTGTAGCACATAATCCAACAATATAAATGTGTACAGGCAATCTTGCATATTCTAATACAATTGGAATGATACAAAACTCTGTTGTGAAAAAGAAAAGATGGCTGACACATGAAGTAGCTCCTACAGACCAGTTATAACCCAAATAAGTCTGAAATCTTATTATTGGTCTCATATGATTCTTGATACAATTTACAACCAAAACACGAGGAAAAGTATGTCATGTTGGCTATTAAACGTATTTGTTTCTAATTGCAAACAGCTTATAAAACTATTAACTAGTAAGCTTTTAACTGAGGGGTGATTCATGTTCATTCACTGCGAGTATTCAATGGAACTGCTTATCAAATAAAGTGAAACGGTTTTCTCAGAAACAACATCATGCTGGACTACTAAAAAGAGTTTTCCTAGAAAGCAGCACAAGCCTTCGGAAAGCTTTCAAATCTTTCTTGTTCTGTAAGACTGCGGGAAAAATAATTATTGTTCAATTAGTGTAACAAATTGGAAGTCAAAGGTTCCTAAACAGCAGAGCTCTGAGGGACGCAGCAACTATATACAATTAGTTCAAGTCTGCTGGAGTCAATCAATAAGGACAAATAGCCCTGTAACAGAGCAGTCTATCTGCAAGTCAGACTACATGCTCCATTAGTTAGGGTTGAACTAAGGAATATGCAGTGGAGCTCAATCACACACTGTCACCCAAATCCACCTCAGCCATATATGCATCCAGCTCTGCATCCAGATGACTCTTGGTCATGGACATGTACTCATCCAGTTGTTCATCCAACTGCTCCCGAGAAGGAATCTGGTGGCTGTCGAATCTAGCCCGGCTGCACCCTGAATGTGCCCTACTGACAGACATAAAACGGCCGCCACCTGTGCAGATAAACGAGAGTTATTTTATAGCTAAAACAGAGTGATGGTTATGACTGAAAACATTTGCATGTACTGAATCTAATCGTATCACTTCAGTGAGGTGACAAATATGCATGATATTCTTACAATGTGCATAAAAAATGTCTTTTTGAGAGAAACATCTGTCAGTTTTTTAGTGCTCAGAGCTGTTGAGCAGAGCAAAAATGAATTATCAAGAAATCAATTTATCTGCACCATTTGAAAAGAAATGGAACAGAGCCAATTTGTTTAAAGTGTTTCCATAACCAGGTAAATTACTGCAATCTTCTCTGATGCTCACAGAATGCACTGAATAGGTCAACAGCCAAAAAAGCAAATGGAACTACATTTGTACATTTCAGCAAATATGCAGGCAATTCTAATGATATTTGGCATGTATGTGACCCTGGACCACAAAACCAGTCTTAAGTTGCTGAGGTATATTTGTAGCAATAGCCAAAAATTACATTGTATGGGTCAAAATTATTGATTTTTCTTTTATGTCAAAAATCATTAGGATATTAAGTAAAGATCATGTTCCATTAAGATATTTTGTAAATGTCCTACTGTAAATATATTAAAACTTAATTTTTTATTAGTAATATGCATTGCTAAGAACTTCATTTGGACAATTTAAAGGTGATTTTCTCAATATTTTGATTTTTTTGCACCCTCAGATTCCAGATTTTAAATGGTTGTATCTCGGCCAAATATTGTCCTATCCTAACAAGCCATGCATCAATGGAAAGCTTATTTATTCAGCTTTCAGATGTTTTGAGATGTTTTTCTCAATTTAGAAAAATTCGTTCCAGGGTATTTAATCTGACATCATCAGAGTAATTTGCTTAATAAACCAGTGTATGATTAGTGCATAAAAGATTAGTCAAAAGGAAACTAAGATTCAAAAGGGTTCGATCATAAGGAATCAAACTGTCCTTAACCTTTTGAGATTTTTTCATCATACTAATAAAGCACAACATAACTTTTAGAACTTTTTTTATATTAATGTCCATAAAGCCAATTAGATTGACTAAAAATATTAACACTGACCACCCAGATTTACAGATCAACAACACTTAATCAGCTGATCAGAAACTTCCCAGTTACAAAGCAGTTAAATATGCTGGATAATAACTACTATTATCTAATCAACAGAAGAACTAGTAAGATGGGAAAGTTTGTCAAACCTTGTGCTGTTCCTGGATGTAGCACCTGCCGCTCTGCATTTCCTTCTGAAGAATCCAAACATTAGGAAAAAGTTGCTAAGGTTTATTTTTAACAAATTCCATAATCATTTCGGTCTTAAATATAACATTTTCAGTACAAAATGGAGCAATGGGGTTTTGAGGGTGTTATTTTTGTGTGGCATAAAAGTAATTATTCACAACCAATGTTTTAGAGATGCAAAGATGGCAGCATGCAAGTTGCATACGTCTGGGGCCAAGCATTGAACTCATGCACCCCACAATTGAGAGATATCAAGAAAAACTTAAGCGTAAGTTAAATTAATTCGATTTTCACTAGAATTAGTAAAGTGTTGCACATTTTACTGATACAGAAATGAGTAGGTGTATTTTGTAAAATGTCTGCAACTGCTTTTATCTCTTATTTAGAAGCACCACAATTAAACTGTCATCTGTTACATAGTGACTATTGAACAGACATTTAGAAGAAAATTTTAAAAGTATTGTAATGTATTGAAAATAAAAGTGTGAGTGTGTTCTTTGCACACTTGTGGTAGTCACTCTTCATGGCTACTTGAACACTTAGGCCAAATACAGGAAATATGTCATGCAAGTAAACAAGTGGTCAAGTGCAAATACTGTTAAGTGTGGTTGTTGGGACAGGTATTACAGACCTCCATGTTCTCACCTGTCTTTCTAATGGCTCCTCCCCCTCTGTTTCCCACTGGTCCAGTCCAATTCACAATTCCTCCACGCTGTTGCTGGCTCCACCCCTTCTGAACATCTAGAGAGGAGACTAACCCTTGCAGACATCTTATGCCTGCACCCCAAAACACACATACATGCATGTACATGCTATATAATGTAATGCTGAAGTTTATCTCATCTCATCTACTCTCTCACTCACTTTTCCTTGTGTAAAATCCTTTGACCAGTCCACTTCTGCCACCGCCTCCTCCTCCTCCTCCTCTCTTTTGCCCCTGCAATCCCATCATGCCCCCTCTCCCCATGGGACAGCCGAGTCTCGCCTTCACGCTCACTTGGCACAGTTGATTATTTATATTCTGCAGAGAGGAAGAGTCACAGAAACTATTTAGTCTGCTATCAGAAAACATCAGATCTGAGAGTTCTGTATTTCGTCAAACAGAATGTGCCTGACAGATGTGTTATGAAGGGCGGCCAGCACAGAAGGTCTGTTGGCCATCTCCAGAGCCAGGCGCTGGTTCTTCAGAGAGGCTGCAGTCTGCTGGTTCACTGCGGCTGTGATGTCCATCACATCTGCCGGCTCATGCTTCAGCAAACTGGTGAAGCTTCAGGGAGGAGAACAAGACGACAGAGAATCACACCACAATATTACAGTGGAAGCACTGTAAACAAATGTATCTCTAGACTTTGGACAAAGTTTTAAAACTTTTTGAATAAGATTCGAGTGCCTTGGACTACTATTATTCTTATAAGTGTCTCTGGTCTCTGACTACATTTCGATAATAGCAGGACTGCAAGGCTAATTCTCACCGGTCATGCAGAGAGACGGTGCATGTGCTGTTCAGGAGGATCTTTTGGGAATCCTGAGGATTCATTTTCACATCCAGCTGGCGGTGTACAAGTCAGACTTTCAGACAAACATATTGCTAAAAAGGCAGAATGAGAAGTGAAATCAGTGTTGACATCTAACTTTACCCTACAGTCCTAATTCTAAGTGTATGTCTGGGTCTGAGCCAATTCAGCAATCAACCGATTTGCACGGAACAAAATATAGCAAACATTTCAACGTGCAAAATTTAACAGAAAAGTCGCATATTTTAATATTTAGACTATAAATATTACTTATAAAATCGCGTTTATTGATTTACCACCATTCAAGTTAGCATCAATATAGGCACACAGCACAACGTTACTTCTTAGTCGGATGTTTTGTGCCAGGTGTGCGGAGTTTGGGACAGTGATTCACCCTCGCTGCCGTGCCTCGGTTGAATGTTTACCGCCCTCTACCGGACAGAGCGGCACATGGACACTACAATCTGCGTCAAAGAATAACATTTATTTTATTATATATTTTTTTAATTAATTATTTGGATCTGGGTAATATTTTTGTATAACGTATTTTTTTTCACTATTAGAGTGATGTTAGATGTTTAAGCTTTAAGAGAAACGTATCTATTGTATATCATATTTAATTCACATTTGTATTGTACAAAAAAAAAATCATAAAAGATCATACATTTTTCATCAATCAAAATCAAAACGACCCAGTTAAGGGTTTCTTCCGTAGTATTATTATTCAAACCTAAAATGAAATCTAAATGGATTTGAATAATCCTAAATTAAATCTAAAATGTTTTACTATACAAGTCAGCTGACCCACCAGGTAAATCAGCCTGGTTTTTGAGCAGGGTTAGTTCTTGTTACTTACTTCACTTTTACTTGCGTTCTACAGAACAAAATGATTTCGAGCACGATATTCTTTTCACAAAGTTTTACAACTTTTTATTTTATTTTATTTTATTTTTGCGCACCGATTTATTGCTTATTACTATTTATTTATTTATTTATGTTTGTTTTACATTGCATTACATTACATTACATAACTGTGGCCGTTGGTCTTTGTCTCCGTTTCAGATTTCAGTTTTACTGCGCTTTATTTGTATGACAAAAAACTCTACATTTGTGTCGCCAGGGGAGTTACCCCTCTCTCTCTCTCTCTCTCTCTCTCTCTCTCTCTCTCTCTCTCTCTCTCTCTGTGCATAAACGAGCAACTACCGCGAGCGAGTCAGACGTGCGCAGACATACACAGAAGAGTACACACGTGACACCTAACTGCCTTGTAAGTAGTCCTTATATTGACTTACATGAATTTGTTTTTTGTGTTTTATGTATTTAGTAATTAATAGTTGTGTCAGTAACTATATACGGTCTCAGAAAGAGTGAAACCGAATAAATACGTGTCTGAGTCAGGAAGTAACTGTTCGGCGTTTCCCACTTAAGTTGAGAGTGATGGACACGTCTATTATGGGATATCATATCAATTTATTTGTTTAGTAATAAGTATAGTTACATTGAATTGAATTCTGTATTTTCATACTTAAACTTTGGTCTGTTTTCGTGTATCTGCCTATTAAAAATGAAATTAAATCCTATTCTCAACATGACCTGTGCAGCAATGCCAGTCTGAATGCCCAGTTCTGAGACCTGTGGTTACATTCTTGTATTTGTATACATTTTCTGTATTGCTTTGAAGACTATACAGTGGCCCCAAAGGTTTTTGGACATTTTTACCACACTTGAAAAGTTTGACAATTAACTTTTTGTGAAATGTTTTGAGTGAAAACTGTGCTTGTTCTTTCATTCTTTCTTTAAAACAATTACAACATGATTTTATGTTTATAATCCAGTGCCATGACATTCATACATTTTTAAGTGTTGCTGAAGTGTTCAGGCTACATTCATGTACCATTTTTAATTTGCTTCTCTTCTAAATTAGTGGGAGCAGAATGTCTGTGAATGCGCCCAGCAGCAGTGATGCATGTTTAAGCATCGTTCACAGCCTGATGTGCCACCGCCAGGGAGGAGAGAATGAGAGCTTCGCCAAACGTGCCATCGAAAGCCTGGTAAAGAAACTCAAAGAGAAAAGAGACGAGCTCGACTCCCTCATCACTGCTATCACCACAAATGGAGTTCATCCAAGCAAGTGTGTCACCATACAAAGAACGCTGGATGGACGTTTACAGGTCAGAGCACTACCAGCCCACATCATCTGTTTTGGACACTTATTAATCATATCATACTTAATAAGACAACGACAACCAGTCAACCACAAATGGTCTGAAAAGTCTGATGGGGAGACAAGCATCCCAGCCTGGGTACCAACATTAAAAACAAGTCATATACGAGCCAGTGTTGTTATTTTTAACTAAAACTAAAACTATATAGATATAAAAAAAATCTAATAAAAATGACAAAAGCATGTAACAAAATTACTAAAACTAAAATTAAAATGAAAGCTGAAAAAATAAAAATAAAAGCCAATTCAAAATAATAATATGAACGCTATAATAGTATATAGATGATACAGAATTAACACTGAAACTCGCATGCTAAGCAGTGTTGGGGAAAAATAATAATATGAACGCTATAATAGTATATAGATGATACAGAATTAACACTGAAACTCGCATGCTAAGCAGTGTTGGGGAAAGTTACTTTTAAAATTAATGCATTGCAATATTGCGTTACTCCATAAAAAAGTAACTAATTACGTTACAACTAATTACGTTACTTAGTTACTTTTTATAGAAAGTAATGCGTTACGTTACTTTTGCGTTGCTTTTTAAATCTGGACTGGGCTTGCTTGTTTGTTTTTAAAATTATAAAGTTATATTTTTGGCAAATATAAAAGCCTTTTCACACCAAAAGTGAAATGAATAAGGCTCAGGCTGAAGGGAAAGTAAATTTACGTCCGTACAGTAGAATGCAGAAGAAGAAATTTCAACACACTTCAGCAATAAAAAAAGACACACAAATGTTTGTCTAGAGTAATTTTTGCTTATTAGTACGGTTGAACTGGATCATCAAAGGTCAGAAGCAAAGACATTGGTTAATAAAATG